TCTCTCTCTCTCTCTCTCTCTCTCTCTCTCTCTCTCTCTCTCTCTCTATATATATATATATATATATATATATATATATACATTCTTCCTGAATTACAACCTAAAATAATTGTGTAGACGAAGTTGCCCCTAGACACTGATCTTAGGTCTGTTACTTACAGGCTTATGATCAACTTCTTGGGGGTGTCTAAGGAGAGAGGAGCGTACCACTTGCGCTTTATGGGGGTGTGTTGTGTCATAGGGAGACCCCTGATGGACCTTTTTAACTCTACTGACAATACAGTCACCACCACCAGTTTTCTGCATCACAACTATGTTTCTGCTTACTCGCTAACAGCCACGCTATGCTAGCTACATGACACGCACAATAAAATGACATCTGCTTTTTGCCAACAGGGTTATCCTCTAACTTACCATAATATGGTGTTTAACCTCTTGAGTGCGGGTGTGGGTTTACTTTTGCCTAACAGCTCTTTCCTCTGAAGACTCTCGGAACATTAAACCCCGTACACAATATCTATCCAGACCATCTGTGTGACCTCCAACTTACCCATCTCTTCTTAATCTGAGATGTAAATATACGTATTTAGAAGTTATATGGGTAATCTTTGAACTATGTGCTGTGGCATGAGGTGAAAAAAATGGTATTTGTTTCATTACCAATAGAAAAAGAGTTAACTGCTGCAGTAGAGGTGAGCAGGGTAGTTTACTGTGTATAAAGAATGTCAGGAAGGGAGATTTAATGTAAAACTGTGACAAAAATACTGAAAGACTTGTGGAGAAGAGACCCTTGCCTGCTCTGTAAGATACTTTGTGAGTGAGTGAGTGAGTGAGTGAGTGAGTGAGTGAGTGAGTGGACAGGTGAGCATGTGTCAAAGAATACTGAGAGAGAGAGAGAGAGAGTTAAATAATATGATATTATGATACATTATGTAAAGGAAAAAAGAAACTGTGCACTTTTCCCATCTACAGTATTATATATATTTTTTTCATTTGTTTTTTTATTTTTGTCTATCTATCTATTGTCTATTTCATTTCTGTCTTTTTAATTATGTTCATCTCCCCAGAGCACCAGTGCAATTCATTCTTGGGTGCAGTTTACGTCTGCATTTGTGTTAATGATTGTCATTTCAAACTGAAAGTATTACTTGGAATTCTTTAGATTACCATGTACCATTTTGACTTCAGATTATTACGTATTAGCACTCATAAAAGACATTTTAGGACATTTAATTTCCCATTTGGAACAGCCTTACATTGCTGTGATTATTGGCATTCAAACACATAACCAAATTAGATTTTACAAGCTAATATATGGACATTGTAGTTACAGTGTAATTGCAGTCATCCGTTGTTTATTATGTGGGGATGTAAACTTGCTAAATTGTGAAGGTGAAGTGCAGACAAAGCAGAGCAGCAACAAATGAGGGTTTATATACAACTGGATTTACTTCTCACCTTTAAACAGCTCTTCTGTTCACTTCCTTTTACAAAACAAAGATGACTCATGACACTTCTATTGTGTTGTAAATACTCATCCATGTTATGGTATCTGTGGTGAGAGGAAGGTGCACTTTTCTTCAGAACAGTTTATACATGTGTGGGATCAATGGACTTATATATCTGGCTTCCCTCACTGGTCGATGCTTGCAGTATTCTCTGCATGCTTTACCAGGATTTACTTTTGGAAGTTCAACATCGTTTGCATTCTGAGCATGATAAAGATATTTTATTATGGTTTGATCATGTCGTGCAGTGCAGTTCCGTGGAATAAGCATGTACCACCATGACCCCTCTGGTGTCAGAAATATCTCACTTTTTGCACCTCTGTGCCATTCTTCCATCCATGGACCAAATCTTTGGTGACCTCCTCATGCCTGTCTCTTTTTTAGTGATTTTATTTTGTGGTTTATTTCCTCTGCCAAAGACTATTTAAAGGGAAAGTGTCTGACTTTGTATAATATCACAGTTGTTTTTGTTTTTTTAAACTGAAACTGTTCAGAGTAGATTGAGTAAAGCATAGTTTTACCATGCTTTGTGAAGTGACAGAGTGGTAGAAACACTGTTGGTGTACTCACATGTTGAAAAGAGGTTACAGAAATGTGACGGACCTGAGAGATTTTGATATGGCAGGTGATATTCTGCAATAGTTCGATGTACTGCAAGTAGAACCAGTCTAGGGGGTTATGTGAAGCTACTGTGACCAAACTGTTCAGGGCCATCTCTTTAGCGGAAGTATTAAATGTTGTGTCCATTGTGTGTATTGACATAGGAGTGATTAAAGATGCTGTTCAAAGCAAACCTGTTGTAAATAGTACACTTGTGTATTTAAACCCAACTTTCTGCCTCTCAGCATTCAATCACGAATCTTGACTGTCTGATCTGGTTTATGTCTGTCTTTTTATTCTCTTCCAAAAACAACAACCTGTCAGGCAGAACTGTACCGCAGTTTGAGGTGTTCTTCTGCTCACTGACATTTGGATATCTTTGAAATACTTTCTTCCTTGTCTTTAGAAGCACTGAGGGGAAAAAAGACAACAAAATACGTACAATAAAACAGAAACTCTTGATGAACTAACCCTGCTTCCTGCTCGTTGCTCTCATTTCTGTTTCCCGTCTCATCTCTTATGCATAGCATTCTCTCAACATAGCAGCAATGTATTTGAAAAACTTTTACAGAAAATGGTTTCTCTAAAAGATTCAATTCAATTTGAATAAATATAGCTATGAAGAAATACTGTCCGATGTTGGGAGAATGCTATTTTTTTCAATCTGGTCTGGTGTGTCTTTTGGTTCATAACACACTTTTGGGTAGCACTGGGCTTATTCAAAGCAATTAAATGATTTCCTTCATGACAAATATAAAAGAGCTGTACACGTGGACATCTCCAGACAACCAGGTCAATGTCAACACACAATTTAAAGATAACTTAAGTGTATAGGACCACATGTGTTTCAAATAGTATCTCAGTTTCTAGCCTGCAGCAGCAACACTGTGCCTTGAATAATTCAGTGTCTCCAAGGTGTAAAACATTTATGTGATCTCACAAGCATTGTTACACCATCGCTGAAAACATGTTCTCACATGCCAGAAATGTCTAATTCCTCACCTTACACTTCAGGCAAACGGCACATGTCCACCTGAGGAAATAATCACTGACTGACATATCATTGCTTCTGTTACCACAGGGGTTGCCACGAGCAGCAGGAGAGTTAAACCAAAGGATGTTCGGAATAGAGTGAGTGAAGCATCCCGGGCTGTCTTACTAGAGGACTAGTGTGATACTGTGATTCTCTCTGCTCTGGTGGCTGTGGGGTTCTGTTGCACATGCACACATTTGGAGTGGTCTTCATGTTTTTAGGGTTCTGGGGCGCAATGAAGGAAGGACAAAGAAATCTTTTGTGGAGGACTATTGTGTCTACAACCTATAGCTATAATGCAGAAATCCCGTACATTTGGATAGTTCATACTCAGAAAACGTCCAAACGTCCAAACATCATTTTATGAAATGCAAATTTGTATATTAAGCTCATGAATTCAGATATAACTTGGTAGTGACTTAAAAATATAGAGGAAAAAGGAATCCCAGGATGATGTAGGAGTGAAATGGACAAGATGCTCATCACTCTTTACCTGCAAGTTCCTGATTTCTGCTCTGCAAATTAACCAAGAGTCCCATTTAGCGGGGAATCTTTCATAAATGTTTATAAAGCACAGCTTAAGTTTTTAGTAGGTATGTAAAAATAATTTACTCATAAACCAAAGACTCTTAGAAGAATGAGTCATTTATAGTACCTGAAGGAATAGGTGTCGTATGTAGCACAAAAGTAGACTGAGGAACTTCACTCCGTCTTGAGGCCATGCTTTGGGCCGTTTTCTCTTTCATGCAAAGGCTTATCTTCATCTGTCTTTCTTCGTGGAAAATGTGGTTAAATGGAGATTGCAGTATTGCAGTCTCAACGGTGCTCTGTTTGACTTTAGTATCCCCTGTTGCAGGTGACATCTCCTGCGTTGATGTCTTTCGCGAGTTTTCTCTCCTCGCATCTCTCCTTGCATCTCTCCAGCCCGAGAAGTTGAGGAGAAGGAGCATACAGTTCAGCCACTGCGAGAAGCCACAGTGACCACTGACCGCCACTTCTGGTGACCGCTCTTCAGTCACTTTGGAAACAAGAGGGAGCAAGCCATATGCCATTAAAAACAATATTTTGATGCTGGGGAGTGAGTGCTGCAGACATAAGCAAATGATGAAAAGCAAATATGTTAAGTCAAGGTAAAAATAATATAACTTGGTCTTGTCAAAATGTTATAATATATAGTTCAAACAGTTCCTGATGGCAAAGAATTAACAATAGTCGTAGCATGTCAGAAGATCTCTGGACAAAGATTACCATGGTGTTTTTAAAAGGGACAATGCACGCCAACAATTTAATATTGCACTTGCATAAAGTTGTGGGACTCACATTAGATTCATTCAGAAAGAACATTTCAAAATTGAAGCAGCAGAAGCTGAGACTTTTAGTCTCAAGTATACTGTAAGTTAAGACCAAAAACACTGGATATTATATTTGCTATAATGTGACACCATATTTGTTAGATCCTCCCTCCAATGCAATTGTTTCCATAGGCTTGATTATACTCTCTATGATGAGTAAACTAAACTGAAAATCAGTGAAGTGAACTTTAATGTTTTGTGTGATTTGATTTTGTAAACTGTGAATCTCTGATGAAATGTTTTTTAAACTGTTTTGAAACTGGTGGCAGAAATAAGATAAATAGCCTGTAGTCAAAGGTCTAAAACATGAATGTTTTGTGCATTTCATTCGGTTTTCTTCTCGACTTTGGCCAACAATGATAGCAACAAGCATAAAGCACCAGCAAGACGACCTCAAGCTGATTGTTGAAAAGATGCAGAAAGGGTACTCAGAGTAGACACATGCGACTTTGTTACGTGTCATGCATGTCTCACAGATTTATAGACTACAAATGGATGGGTCTATAAATAATTATATTCCAGGGTAACAATAGACTATTTAATAAATATTATTGTACTTTCTTGCATAATATTCCAGATCAGCTACACAAATGAAGAAGGAAACCGGAGAACTTGCGAGTACGTAACAGAGCAGTTAAGAGGGCGAAAAGAATGACAAGGGGAGTTGAGAAAAAGGAAACAAAATGTTCTGGTAGAGTTTTATGTAAAAGACATCCCAAGGGTACTATATTTATATATATACTCCTAAACCCATGAGATGTTTCAACTGCCAAGAATTTGGGCATGTGGCAAAAGTGTACAAAGGAAAGAGAAAGTGTGCCGGGTGTGGAGGAGAACATGAATAAGGAACGTGTTGAGAGGGAGTCCAGCCAAAGTGCTGCAACTGTGGAGAGAAACATAGCGTTGCATATTGGGGTTGTGAAGCAATGACACGTGAGGTGGAAGTCCAATAAATATGAGTGAAAGGAAAAGTATCTTATGCAGAAGCAGTTAATTTGGTGAGGCAGGAGAATCAGTCAGAAGAGCTTAGTCACAAAGGGCTAATGACAGTGGAGGTAGAAAGGAATGAGAGAATCAGGGTATGGGCGGAGAAGAAGATGAGGTAAGAAAGGCACAAGTCAATGAAGAAACTGTGGCGGCAGTGTTTTTTGATGTAGAAAGAGCTTATGACATGCTATGGAGGGAAGGGCTTTTGACAAAAATGCATTTAATGGGACTCAGGGAAAATCTGTTTGATTGGATAATTAACTTTTTACATGAGAGAACTATCCAGGTAAAAGTAGGAGCTGAAATGTCAAGGAAATATGAGGTAGAAAATGGTACTCCACAAAGGAGTGTGGTAAGTCATATACTTTTCTCAATTGCAATATATGACATCTTTGCAACGGTGTCATCATGGGAAGGTCATTATTTGCGGATGATGGGGTCTTATCGAAAAATGGAAGAAATTTGGAACATGTAGTTCAAAAACTGCAAGAAGGGATAAACAAGTTCAAATGTGGGGGAAGAAATGGGGATTTAAATTCTCAGTTGAAAAAACGAAAGTAATAGTCTTTACAAGAAGGAGAATGAGGGGAAACTTTTATCTGAGGCTGTATGGAAACAATTTAGAAATAGTAGAGACATTTTGGTTTTTAGGAGTGCACTTTAACAGCAATTAACACCACATTAAAAATGTTATTGATACGTGTAAAAAAGTTATAAATGTGATGAGACGTCTGGCAGGGTTGGACTGGGGAGCAGACATTGCATCCTTGATACACATTTACATAGCTCTAATTAAATCCATATGGTAGTATAGCATATGGTTCAGCATCAGAAACCACACTTAAACAACTATGCTACCCAGACCAGGGCCCTAAGAGTTCGTATTGGTGCAGTAAGAACATTGGTGCGCCCTCCAAGTAGAGACAGGAGAAATGACAATGTGTCTACGCAGAAAACAACTGTGTGGTCATGAAGATACTCACCCAACCAAAAAAGTATTATACAGGCATGTTGGGAAAGACAAAGTGTACCAAATGCCAGGTTTGGCTGTATTGGAGAAGCAACAGCAAGAAGCTTAGAGTTTTGCCCTATTGTCATTTGGCCAGTAACTCCGGTGTGGATGCTAAGATCCAAAGGTAGATATGAGATTACTGCAAATTAAGGTAAGACATAAAAATGCAGATTTAGTGAGTGAGTTCGATGGGTATACAGATCAAAACTACTCCGATCATGTGCATATTTTTACCAATGAATCAAAAGACCCAGCTACAGACAGTACAGGCTCTGATGTTGCAGTTCCTAGTCACAAAATTGAAATATTTAAACGCAATTTTAGCTGTGTATACAGTTGAGTTGGATGCACTTTTTATGGCCCTAGCGGGTTAATAACACAGACCTTATTTGCAGTGATTCCATGTCTGCATTTTCTAGTCTAAAGTCAGATGTGTCCAATACTCGACAAGATCTGTTATTCAAAATAATGTCAATTCACTCAAAAGCAATAAAAACAAGGCACTGAGGTTACATTTATATGGATTCCGGCTCATAATGGTATCAAAGGAAATGAAAAAGTTGACAAACTAGCTAAACACGCACTAAAGGAAAATAATATAGACATCTGTATCAAGTTATCCAAACCAGAGGGAAAGGGCATTATAAGGAAAAATATCAACAACATATGGCAACAACATTGGGACCAGGAGACGAGGGGGAGACACCTACATTTAATTCAAAATAAAGTGGGCAGTGTAAGATATAAACAGGAGAGAAGATGTCGCAATATCAAGGTTAAGAATAGGACACAGCAAGCACAACCAGGCCCCAGAAACTGTAGAACATGTTATCACCACTTGGAAAGGTGGCAGTAATTCAAGTAATAGGATGCAAGCTGCCGTTAAACATCACAGAAGAAGAAGAAGAAGAAGAAGAAGAAGAAGTAAACCGGAAGCGTGATTTTTCCTCCTGCTGGCGATAGCTAAAGCTACGTTGGTGTCATCGTCTTATCGGGTTGGGGTTTGATAACAGAAACAACAGTTTTATTTCGTGTCCAACCACGAATACCTGTCGTCACTGGAGTGTCTGGAGAGGTATGTCTATACTACACTTCCTCTACTTTGTAAATACGAGAGATGCGGAGGATAGCTCTTGCTTGTAACACAACTGTTTGTGCTAGCCGCTGCTAACGCTAGGTAGCCAAACATAGCTCCGGCCTACGTTAGCTAACGTTAACGTCAACATAGTACACACAGACAGGACTTCTCATCAGCTGTGCCTGCTAGCTTAATCGAAGGTGCTGTATCAAGTTATCCTGTCTGGGAGGACAGTATTGATACGCTGTGATTGATAAAAAACATTGTCAGTCACATATGTTGAGATTATGCAGTTTGAAGTTGATCTACACAGTTTACAGTCCGTTGTTCGATATTGAGCTAACAAATCGATCTGTGCGGTTAGCCAGAGATGTAGCAGTAGCTTGCCAAGTAACGTTGCGGATTAGCCTCAGTTAATAAATAAATTGCGCTAACGATAAGTAGCCCGTGGTTTATTATGAATTTACCCTGACATCGTTTCAATACTCTTACAGTTAAAGTACAGGGCATTAGTGTTATACTGTCAGCTGTTGGCACCATGACTCTGGGTCAGCAGTGTTTGCTGATAGAGAAGTTATCTTGAGTTCAGTTGGCTGAGATGGAATGACAGTTAGATGTACATTTAAATCTAAATCATGTCTTGCCTATACATGTAGCAGTACAGTCTCAAAATACTAGTACTTTGCATATTTCCATTTTTAAACTGTAATAGTTTCAAGTTCATTATGCTGATGTGTCCTGTATGTAGTAAACGTTGCACTTTATTATTCAAAAACAAACAATAAGCTCGTCATATAAATACATGACATTTGATCCCTGCATTTATCCATCTTAAGCCGTTTAAGAGCAGTAGGCTGCTGTGAAGAGCTCGGGGAGCAGCTTGGGGTTCAGTATCTTTCTCGAGGCCACTTTAACATGCAGACAGTAGGAGCTAGAGGGGTCAAACTGCAACCGTGTGTTTAAAGTACGACCCGCTCAACAGTTACCGCAATAGAAATGTTATTCAGGAATTGAAGTATAAATCCCCAACAGTAGTGCTGTTAATGCTTCTGCTGCCTGATTCTACAGCCATAAGATTAATCAGTGACATTTGTGAATTATTGCTGGTTTACAACTTGAATATGAGATTTTTCTGCTTGTCTTTGTGTCATGACAAGATACCTTTTTGTATCATTTGTAAATTGACTGCTTTTGGGTCTTTTGACTGTGGGTCAAACTCTGTGAGCAACAGCTCACAACTCTTTATTGGCATTTTACAGATTAAACAACTCATTGGTGCGCTAATGGGTAATCCAAAGATCAGTCATTCATTGCAGGATTGAAATACAGTTGCACTCAAAATTATTCAACCCCCCATTGCAAATTAGGTTTATTGACAAAATTTACAAACTTTCAGCTGTTTTCAATAAACAACTCAAACGAGGACAATTTAGCTCAACACAAAATATCACTTTTAATGACTACTGCAGTCTCAAAATGATTCAACCCCTTCATAACAAACATCTTTAGTACTTAGTAGAGCACCCTTTTGCTGTTATGACCTGATGCAAACCTGATGTAACTAATCAAGGGCCTCATTAGTTGCATCAGGTGTGCTTGAGATAGAACACATCAAATACATGGACTGGCAGTGACGTTTGATTGCATAATAGAAACATGGGTAAGTCAAGAGAATTGTCCAAAAAGTTAGGAGAAGAGATCATTGCCTTGCACAAACAAGGAAAAGGATACAAAAAGATAGCAAAGGCACTGAATGTTCCTAGAGATACCGTTGGAAGCATAGTTCACAAGTTCAAAGTTAAAGGGATACTGGCTACACTACCTGGATGTGGCAGAGAGAGGAAGCTATCGACGGCTGCCACCAGACTTCTGAGGAGGCAGGTGGCCAAAAACCCTCGAGTGACTGCAAAAGACCTGCAGCAGGACTTGGTGGCAGCAGGCACTGAGGTTTCAATTTCCACAGTAAGCTGCATACTAAACGCTGAAGGTCTCCATGCCCCAACTCCAAGACGTACACCACTACTGAGCCAAAAGCACAAGACAAGTCGGCTCCAATATGCTCAAAACCATGTTAATAAGCCACAGAAGTTTTGGGATTCTGTTCTGTGGAGCGATGAAACAAAACTGGAACTTTTCAGGCCTATGGATCAGCGGTATGTCTGGAGGAGGAAGAACGAAGCATGCGCTGAGAACACCCTGCCGACTGTGAAGCATGGCGGTGGCTCGGTGATGCTTTGCTTCTTCTGGCATTGGAAACCTGCAGTGTGTGGAGGGCAAGATGGATTCAATCAAGAATCGGGAGAAAGCGTCATGCCGTCTGTGATGAAGCTTGGGTGTCGTTGGACCTCTCAACAAGACAATGATCCCAAGCATACCTCAAAGTCCACCAAGGCTTGGTTTCAGAAGTAGTCCTGGAAGATTCTAGAGTGGCCGTCACAGACGCCTGACTTGAACCCCGTAGAATATCTCTGGTGGGATTTGAAGGAGGCGGTTGCAGCACGCAAACCCAAGAATATTAGAGAGCTGGAGGCCATTTGCCATGAGGAATAGGCTAAGATTCCTCAGGAACGCTGTCAGAACCTGGTGTCTGGCTATGCATCACGTTTGCATCGGGTCATAACAGCAAAAGGGCGCTCTACTAAGTACTAAAGATGCTTGTTATGAAGGAGTTGAATCATTTTGGTCATTAAAAGTGGCATTTTGTGTTGAATTTTGGAGAAACCACTTGTAGTATTAGTTGTGTTGAGCTATTTAAATTCACCATGCCATCAGTCAAATGTAAAACATTTTTAAAAAATGTAAAGGAAGGCCACACTTGGGCCTAGTATTGTAAGGCAATGTAACCTGATAGTGTGTATCAGTAACTTATATCAAGAGATAATATCTAGATGGATTTCATTAATTCCTTTTTTGCATGTCCTCTAAATCCTCAGATGAACAGCAACGGGAATAAGAGAGCTCCAACTACAGCCACTCAGCGACTTAAGCAGGATTACCTCCGGATAAAGAAAGACCCTGTGCCTTACATCTGTGCAGAACCTCTCCCGTCTAACATCCTAGAATGGTAAGGTTTCCATCCCGTCAAGAGCCGGCAATCATCGTCACCAATACGTTGCATCTCAGAGCTCTAACTTGGACCTTTTTATGTTCTCAGCAGAGTTTAAACATTCTCTAATTCTGACACGTTGTCACTAAATCACTACGGCTCTTTTTGTCCACAGAAATCTGTGAATCAACATTTAAATGATAAAAAAACAGGTTAGCTTAAAAAATATGTACTTACAAAAATGTAAGATAACCAAAAAAACAATTGCAACATATGAAATTCTATTAACTTGTTTTTTGTTCATAAGAGGAGTGGAAACTACTGCATCAACATTTGAACAGCTTTTGGGTGTGTGGGACATAGTTTTAACATTGGTTTACAGCAGTGGTTTCCTAAGGGCCCTGAAGGGCCACAAGACAATTTCTAAGATAGATATAAGGTCATCGCAGCGCACTGTAACGTTTGCTTAGTAAGGGCCGGTCGACAGCAGCGCAGCCTGGCACCGTGGATAAAAGGATGAAAGCAACACAGCTGACGTCTCCACACATTTTTAGATGAGACATGTAAATTGCCCTTTTTTTTAAACGGTTACTTACACGAGGGTTTGGTTTCATCTACCCATGTTTGAAGATGTATATCTCGGAGACAACATTAAAAAAAATTGACTATTTCTTCAGTAGAAAGTAGTTCAAATACAAACTATCAGCAAAATACAAAAAGATGACCCAAAGGGGAAAAAAAAACATGTTGTTGTTTAAAGGTATAATATGTCATATTTGTCTGTAGCTGTTTGTAAACAAACGGCCTTCAAAGCTGGCCACTCCTCCTCGGCTCAGCGAACGGGAGAGAGAGGGAGGGAGTGAGTGAGGGAGGGAGAGGGAGGGAGTGAGTGAGTGAGGGAGGGAGAGGGAGGGAGTGAGGGAGAGGGAGTGAGGGAGGGGGAGAGAGAGAGGCAATGGTCAACAAGCTATAGAGTAAATGAAGAGAGGGAGTGAATCGGAGAAGGAAAACGTTATTTTTTTGATTGTTTCGCGGCACCCACACACAACCCTTAGTCAACCTGACATCAATAGCAGCAGAGGAGAGAGAGACAAGGAGGGGAACACTGAAGCACATGCACATAAAAACACACCGCAATCTAAAAACAATGTCCGTCAAATCAATAAAACAATACTAAACCGACAACAACACTGCACTTTAATGAGCTGAGAACAGATACAAAGAACAACTGAGTCAGTTAGAGCAGAAATCTCAACATCTCTATCGGTGCATTAGAGATTGACCGCAGATGAACTTATTGTGGTTAAAAACAAATGTATGACGGTCCTAAGGACGGTGCAGCTGTATGATGTGCATCTTAACTTAACCAGGACACTTGTTAAAGATGACGGAAATGTAACAAGAAAGAATTCAAAGTGGAGCTACTGAAGTGAACCAGTCAGTAGAGTTTAATTCTAGGCCATTGCGAGCACATTAATGCAGTTCTACAGGATGGAGATTTAACCAAAAATTAGTTTTGAATGTTATTTTTTAGTTACTAAAGGAATTTGTTTTCTGTCTTCTCTAGGCACTATGTAGTCAGAGGTCCTGAAAAAACTCCATATGAAGGTAAAACCTGCTCCCAGTTAACACAACATGCACTCATCAAGTAGTTTCGGTTACTCAGAATATTTTGACAAGTTAATTCCTGCTGATCTCTGTTTGGTGAATGATGTAACTTCAGAAGTAGTGAGGCATATGTTCTGTCTCAGCTGTACGCAGGCCTTTCTTTTTCGTGTTATGTGATGTCATAAATTCCATTTTCCATAGGAGGATATTATCACGGAAAACTCATATTTCCTCGGGAATTTCCTTTTAAACCACCAAGCATCTATATGATAACACCAAATGGGAGATTTAAGTGCAATACAAGGTAAGAAAATGGTTTTAATTGTTGGATTAAATGAGTTTTTGAAAGTGACTTTGCTCATGCTCTTTTATTGTAACTCCGCCCTGTCTTCTCCACAGGTTATGTTTGTCCATCACAGACTTTCATCCAGACACGTGGAACCCTGCGTGGTCCGTCTCCACCATCCTCACAGGTCTGCTCAGCTTCATGGTGGAGAAAGGCCCCACCCTCGGCAGCATTGAAACCTCCGACTACACAGTGAGTGCGAACGAATGACCCCAAAATGCAGCACATGGTAGTAAAACCCGCCTGTGACGCCTCAAATATCTTTTTTTTTTTTCTCCAGAAAAGACAGCTGTCAGCCCAAAGCCTGACCTTCAACCTCAAGGATAAAGTGTTCTGTGAGCTGTTCCCTGATGTAGTCGATGTATGTATGAGAGGGATCTCTAACTTCTTGTCTTAACTCTTTTTTTTTTTTTTTTTTATTGGCCTAATACCGTCCAATTTCCTTCCTTCCCTTACACCAGGAGATAAAGCAGAAACAGAAGGCCCAGGAGGAGTTAAGCGCCCGCACTCAGCCCCTCCCCTTACCCGACGTGGTTCCTGACGGGGACCCTCAGCACGCCCACTACGGGCTCCCCGCCCTCAACGGAGTTCCCGTCCCCCTCGGGGGCGCTAACCCCGCCCCTGGCCTGCAGCAGGCCAATCGCAACCACGGACTTTTAGGTGGCGCTCTTGCCAACCTGTTTGTGATCGTGGGCTTTGCAGCGTTCGCCTACACGGTCAAGTACGTGCTGAGGAGCATAGCCCAGGAGTGACAGGAGCCGGCGTTGTAGGGCGGCGCTCCCCCCCTGCAGGCGAGCCAGCTAGTGGACTCCAAAATTCTACAAACACACTACGTGGGGGAGGGATGTTCAGTCCTGGGTTAAACCCCTCCACGACCACCACACCCACCACCACCATGGACTTTGGATGACGGAAACTCAAAGCCGACCCACCCGAGAAGGATTGAGAGGAGGAGGAGGAGGAGGAGGAGGAGGGTGGGGGAGTGGACGGGAGTGGCAGTAGGGCCGGGGAATTGGAGGGGCTTATTAAAAAAACGGTTGCGATCCACTCTGTGCTTCAGTGGTTTATGTCAGCAGTAGGAACAAACTTGGCTCATGGGTTGTGGAAGAGTGTAGAACTAAAGAAGAAGAAGGCTGGAGGCAGGTCACACCAACAGAAATATGCTAAAATGCACCATTGTTCTCCTGCGTCATGAACATTACTGATAAAACGCTTAAGTTGCTAATTCTCAAAGCAGGCGTCTCCCTGCCCGTCACTTTTACAAGAAGTAATTCCCTCTGCAGTGTTTACTAGTCACTCATCAGATCTAAGAGACTCCTCGGGCTGTGACTTCATGCTGTTGCAACTCCAAAAGTTCCCAAAATCAAGAGAAAAGGAAGAGCCACTAAGACCAGTTGTGTGATTCTCCTCATCAATGTTGTGCATTTTTGACATACATACACACACACATGCTCTTTTTGTATTTGTCAGTTTTCGTTTTCCATGCCTTGAATAGCATCGAGGCATCAGGTGCCAGTAACCTGCAGCCACAGCTAAATAACTGGTTCCTCCACCTTTAATCTCACTATGTAGCGAGTGTGTACCTGGGTTGGTTTTCTTCCGAGGAATACATTGAACTCTAGTTTCAATAGAACACGTAATCATACAGACACGGTTGAGGTCAACACACAAACCCGAAAGACCACTCTGTAGCAGTTCTCCCTGACAGCCCCTGTCAAAGATTGACATTAAAACAATATTGTAGATCATACTTGTGCCAAGAATGTGTGAGTCATTTTCAAGCACAAATGGAAGTTCAGAAAAAATACCTTTTGGTCCATGTTGACAGATGGGGAATAATAACGGGAAGCTTTGTAACCTGATGTGTGACCCGTGAATGGTCAGGAGGCTCATTAGTGCTCAATGACAAAGACGGCTGCAAATCTACATGTAAAAAAAAAAACAAGTCCCAAAACAGTGCGCAACAACGTGATACTAGTCAAACTTAATACACTTGTCAGTATTTCTGTATCTCATCAGGAGGGTCTACTTTCTGCACGCAAAGCGTATATCTGATGATGCGTCACAGGCCGGGCAAGTAGTGCAGAGAGGTATTGACAAGTGTATTTTCTATATCTATATTTCTCTTTATCATAAAAGATTAAAAAAAACATAAAGGTCGGCATGGTAGTCTGCGAACGAGCTACTGATCGGTGGTCAAAGTCTGATGCGAGTCCAGACGTTCCTTCCTGTCAACCCATGAGCCAAGCAGTGAACCCAGTGTCTGCACAGAAGTACATACAGACCAGTATCTTTCTTTTTGTTTTTTGAATTGGTTTAGTTGACCAATACAACACCAATCTATAAAGGTCCACGTAATGAGACAGAAGAAGAGAACCACCATTTGTTTCTGTATATTATTTTCCTTTTGATCATTTTTTTGTTTTGTTTTTGTTCTCTTATTTATAGAAACTGCCTCGGCTTCTGTGTCATGGTTCTAAGGATATTGTCCATGGGCCAGGCTCACATGTTGGCTGATAATTACTGTTGTGCATTGCATTTAGTAAAGATGGTTCTACTGTGTATCTAATGTTCAACAGAAAAATGCTCTGAAAGCAGAAGATTTGCCTTTTTATTGCTCTTTTCTTGGCACCATCTTAAAAAAGACAAACTGATGACGAAGATGATGGTGATGATCAGTGCGTTTTTGTGTGATTATACAGCAAATGCCCAAATTTCCATGCTTCAGTTAATCTTGTGTGACATTGTATGTTTTCATAGTAAATGCAAATAAATTACCCTGCTTGGCAGGGCATTTTAGAAAACCTTTTTAATGTGCTTCTGTGACAGAAACAACATATCATTTGACGAGGTCAAGGGTTTATGTTCTTTATGTTTAATACAGCGGAGATTGCTTACAATAGCAATGATTTAGATGTTTAGGATATTAAAGTTATTTGCATAATATGTTGGCACACTTCAGTTGAATTCCACAAAAGAATTCTACCTGAGACCGCTTCCTTGGAACTGTTTGAATCGCATGACAAGATGAGTCACGTCTGACTGCACGCGGGGAAGGATTTAAAGCACCGAAGCAGCAAGCCAACAGTCACATCAGAGCTTCGTCAGTCCAGCAGACACTTTACCTTCAGTACTAAAGCAATAAACCCTCACAGTAAGTATTGTTCTAAAACAGTTGATATTTTGTGTTTTGAGTATTTATTTTTATTTTTATTGCAGAACATTTATCAAGAAAATAACTTCCAAATTTTTCTGATATTGATTATTTGATTTTTCTCATGTGCTGCAGGTTGTGCGGTGAAGAGTTCCACTCTGCTTCTAGTCTCTAAACACCACTCGTTCACCATGTCCATAAACGAAGAGCTGGAGTGTGTCGTGTGCTGCTACGAGTACTCGCACAGCGACCGGGTCCCGAGGCTCCTCCACTGCAATCACACCTTCTGCGCCCCTTGCCTGGAGAAACTGTCCAACCTGCAGGGGGTCATCCGCAGCGTCTCCTGCCCGCTGTGTCGCTGGATTACCTGCACCCGAGCCAGTCTGACCCTGCCCGGGGCCCTGTGGGTTAACACGGACATCTGGGACCAGATTGCGGAGGAGAAGCAGCAGAAGAATGAAGAATCGATGGAGGATTTGAAAAAGACAAAGACCCAATTCATCAAGCCAACACTGTAAGTGTATCCTCGGTTTTTATTCTAATAGATTCTACTTCTGTCACAGCAATTTGTAGCTGCAGTGTAATGTATGCAAGTCCGATCCAACAGATCTCTCTCTGTCCCTCTGTAGCCCTGATTCAAGACACCATAGCTTCATGTCCACACTTCGGACAATATTCAGCTGCGTGCTGCACCACAAAGGACGGGATGGACACCTTCTGACAGTTTTACCGCAGGACAATTGGCAGCGGCATCTCCCTTCCTCAGCACGTTTAACTCAAATGCCTCACTAGTGACATTTTGGGCTTTTTCCATACATTTTAGCTAAACTTACATTTTAAGTTTAGCAAGGTTGTGAGTTAGTTAGTTTGTAGCCAAAATACAGATACTAGTTCCTTTATAACAAAAAAGTCTCTATTATGTCAGGCTTACAGTGTAGAGTTTATTGGCAATAATTTGCTTCCCAAAACTGACTTTAACAACCAGCATAGTATTTAAGTGGGAATACCTCATTCTGATTTAGAGGACATGATTTATGTAATATAATGGATAGTTATTCATAAATGTATGTATTTATTCACTATTTTTGTCACTTTGCCCGCATGTGTTTTGGGGCAATTGTAATTAAAACAGGTCTGATGTGGATCATTGCATGTATTGGTGACATGAAGGATTGTTATCCTCAAAGTTGCTCTAAATTCTTAAGCACAATTTACTCTGATTTATTTATTGAACAGAAATAAATCCGTAACTATTTAATTTACTATTTAATTGTTTGCTTGACTCAGACATTTGTGCACATTTCCACGTTAGTTAGTTAACATCATGTCTGAGACCAAAGAAATTAAATGTTTTTAATAAAGTTGTTCAAAAACATCTCTTGGCTGGAGTATACTTTCTTCTTCATTCGGTCTAGGTGAGTCAGATGTAAACTATTGATATGCACCTTGACATATACTGTATATCATTAATTTAGTAAAAAATATATTGTTGCTGCTTTAAATGGCTTTAAACGTTATTTGAACTAGTTAATATGTTAATCTGCTGAACTTCAGAATGGAAAAAAATTTTTTTTTCTAAACTTTAAAATTTGTTCAATGTATAAATCTAAAAAAACAACCTTTAAAAACAGTATTTTTGATGCGACTTGCTTTTTTAAAACCATGATTAAAAAAACAGCACTAACATCGGGAGTAAACCTAAAGGTGTTGATCTCAGGAGTTTGGATTTAACTATTAAAAATGATCATTGTGTATTTCATACCATTATGTCAAAGAAAATATGATGTAAAGTAATGTGTGAATGTCAGAAAACCTTTCAAGACATATTTTTGTGTCAAACAATAATTTTCGAAACAATATTTGCTTAAGGGGCCAGAGTCTATGACTTTGGGCGATCTATTGGAAATCGGTTGTGTATAATTGCCTGAAAATTGAAAATTTTTGCCTCTTCGTCACCTTAAAATAAGCTGATCACAGCTATATAGTATATCCTAAAAAAGTCATAGGAAAAAGAAATGACACCATATAGTTTGCCGAAAAAAGTAATACAAAGTCATATATATAAGTCATAGCATAGTACGTATTTCAAACAATATATGTCAAAAAAAAGAAGTCATAGTATAGTGTGTTGAAAGAATTCATAAAAATGTAATAGTATAGTATTTCATAAAAAAGCCACTGTACATTTATATAAAAGTTATATAAAAGGCATAGCAAATCAAATCAATGTCATAAAAAGCCATAGTATAGTATTATATGTCTTAAAAAACTTCATAAAATGTCATGGTTAAATATGTCATGAACAAGTAATAAAAGTTTAAAAAAAGTCGAAAAGTCATAAAAAATGTCATAGTTACTATCTCGAAAAGTTAAAAAGAAAGAAATAATAAAGAAATAAACAAACTATGATATGTAAAAAAAGAAAGTCACAGTAAAATATGTCAAAATTAATCATACTACAGTATGAATATCAAAATACATAAAACAGAATTAAAAATGAACTTTAACTTTAAAAAAGGTCATAAATTAAAATGTCGCAGTTATGTTGAAAAGTTTTTTTAAAGCTATTGTACAGTATTTAAAAATAAGGTCTTAAAATGTTCATAGCATAAAAGGTCAGAATAAGTCATCGTACAGTTTGACTTAAAAAAGTAACGATCATACACAAAATGTATGTCCAACAATACTTGTTGGACATACAGGTCAAACTTTTGTAATTAAAAAAATTGTCAAATTAAGTCATAAAAAATAAATCAGAACATTGTGACTTAAAACAGTTGATGTATCATATTTTGAGAAATCATAAAAAGGTCAAAGTTCAACCTTCAATATCAGGAAAAGAAGAACAGAAGAGAAGCTCAAACATTTAGTAAATGTGAAAATAAATCTTATGTATGTGTCATTCAAACGTTTTTTTAAACATTCAATATATAAGGATTTTATTTAAGCAAATCAACATAAAAACACAAGTCAGACAATAGCAGCTTAAAAATGTGTACAGTAGAGTACAAACATTATGCACTTATTCTGACATATTATACTGTGACTTTTTAAAACTTTGAAGGTTGCTTGTTGAAAATATTCACGAGCAGCTTTTCACCGATTGATTTTTTCAGTTGAATACACGGTTCAGTGCGATTGACGTTGCTTTGGTCGTGAAGCTTTGACTTCAGTTTAAAAGGTAATGAAAGCTTCCATTCCTTGAAGAGATTATGAACCATCATAAAGTCAAACACACTGTTCCCTGGAAAATCGTTCTGTCACTTTACCGGTTAACATACCTTGGAAGAGGCCTGAATAGCCCGAGCTTAGGTTTATTTGTCTGCGCTCATGCCGGCCGCTGTACAAACAGTTACAGAACTCAAAGATCATTCATCACGACTAACACGGAGCGTTTCTCTGCAGCTCAGAGTGATGAGGGGAAACTCACTCATAGATAATGTTGTGAAACCGGGGTGAAGAACAATGAAACAAAACGTTGTGAATATGTGGTTATTTTTATTGAAAACAGTAACAGTGGATTATTTGAGCTGAAACCTTTTTTCCCTGAATTAGTTCTACTAAATAGCCTCTTAACTATACTATGTTAAGGTGAAATACAGTTAAATATTCAGGCATTACAACACAAAACTGATGCAAACACAACAGGGAAGTGTTTACTAAAAAGCTTTCAGAACCCACAGAAACCATCCCGAGATGCACCTCCTTAGACCAACAGCCACTGATCAGCTGTGTTCAGACCAGACCGACAGTGTGACGGTTGTACCCACACGAGTCCTCCACGTGTGAAAAACATTCCAACATTTTATATTCAGACAAGACTGAAGCCAAAGTGGCACTTTTGCACATTTTCTAGGGGGGAAATACACCTTGTATATTTAGTAGACAGCGCCACCTTTGACTCACTTATTGTAAGAAACATAACTGTGCTGAGCAGGTCAATTTGCTAAAAGACTGCGTGATATTATTTTTATTAGTCGATTTTTGTTACAACTTCCTAGCGAGCGTTTCCAATGCGTCGTATGAAAACAGTTCAAGTTGACCATAATTCATGTCTATAAATGAGCAGGTCCGACACAATCAGAATTTAAACATAGGATATTTTTCAGTCCATGTCAAACATCAGGGGCAGATAAGTAGGGAAGAAGATTAATATGAAAATAAAAGCTACCACATCATTCCTCAGGATGGTGATCTCACTCCGCTGTACTTCATAAATACATTCAGCACTCAAGTTGATGCATTTTTTTTTTCTTTTTTAAAGTTTCTATTGCATAAGGACATGATTAATGCTGCCTAAACACTGTCACTATATTAACAGACTATCACATGTGCACTTAAATTAACACGTATCCATCACAGTTTTCACATTGCTTCTCTTCCTCCACATCTTCATGGACCTTCCTCTTCCTTTCTCACAGCGACGTAACATAATTTAAAAAACATGGTAAAAGACATATTTGTGATTAATCAGACATGGGTAAGGTAGTCACTATTATATGTTCGCTAAAAACACAGGGTCACACTGGGTTAGTGTGACGACGTTATGAGGGTCATGAGAAACTAAAGGACTTTAACTCTTTTACCTAGCCCTTCACTAGCTTCGAGTTAGGCGTCTAGAAGTTCGCCTAAAGTGTCGTCGCAGCTTGTGACAGGAGGAGAATCTCTCTCCGCACACACACACACACACACACACACACACATACACACAACAGGAGTACAATACATTGACCACAATGCCATAATCATACATCTAGAGAAGATGGTTATACAATAAGGGCTATAAACAATATTGTTAAGGGGAAATAACCCAATGTGACATCAAATAATACCCAGAAAACATTTTAAAAATGACCCAAAAGAGCATGTGAATGAGTTGCAGGTGAAGCGCCGCTTTTGAGTCAAAAGCAGCAAACACATAGGTGAGCAACAGTTATTCTACTAGAAACACAGTTTAAATGTCCCTTTGTGATAAATTGTGGGGAAGTAGAATTTTTTTTTTTTTGTTGTGTTCAAAGTGTGCGTGAATCCTTATAGGAATGGATACTGTGTGAGGCGCCTGGGGCTCAGCTGGTAGGCACTGTAAGCTTCGGCCCGGGGAGTCACACTAACGTAGGGAGAACCAGTGGCGAACTGGTGCTGGTAGGCCGCGGGCAGGCCGTGCAGCAGACTGCTGACAGAGTCCTTACGACTGGCCGAGTCTCTCCTGGAGGAGGATGCTGAGGCGTACGTTGCTGCATAGGCGGAGGGAGAGTGTCCGTGGCTGGCGTGACCACGGCTTAGCAGCTGCTCCATGGCCTGAGAGGCCGAGGAGAGGGCCGTGGAGGCCGGGTAGGCGTACAGGCCGGGGCCGGGGGCCGAGGCCGAAGCCAGGGCCGCCACCTCGGGGAAGTTGAAGTGGGACGATACGACCGGAGGGAACGTCGACTGGCGACGCATTGACGAGTCACTGTGGGAACGCTCCTGAGATGAAGAAACAACCGGCTGAACCTAAAAAAAGAAACAATACTCGGTATTAGTGGAGTAACGTTGTACGGATCAACCGGATTAATAACACAGTTAACGTTGAAATAAAGTTTTACTGACCATAGTTATCCGCCAATATTCAGTAAAACATGCGACCAGAACAACAGTTATGCTTTTCTAGTGACCGATCTCTGATAACGACGGTTCTGTTATATTATTATGCGTTCAGGCTCTGTTCAGTGAAGGTAAACTATGACGTTATCATGATGTGTTCACGCGTAATCTCATAAAATGTAGTTTTGGTGAGAAACTTGAATAAATCCAGTTGTATGAGGGAGATCTTTTCACAACAATATAAAATAGATATTAGAGATGAATTATGATCTGTTTACAATACCTCTAAGCAGCTTATGATGCATCATTAAAACTACTAATGATAAGATGTTTTCTTTATCTTTTACAATTGAAATGTGTTTATAGTTATGGCTCAAGCGCAATGAACACTGCTGGTTTGACAGTTTATGATGAAGAGTGCAAAGTAACGTTTGATATGAAGTAATATTAAATATGTGAGAGGCATTTAAACGGGAAGTGGCGTACACCTCGTTAAGTGCGTACGCAATAGCTATAAACGAGACCCCAGAAGTTTGTTTTTCAACATTAACGCTTTGTAACTTTAATTAAAATCTTAAAATAAAGATTTAAAGAATTCTTGTCAAAAATTATGAAATAAAAATTCATGGTTTAGCGTCCTACAGCATCATTATTTGGGATATGTCTTTTGGAACTTATGACTGCTGTTCCTCTGTACCCGTTTCCCTTGACATGCTGTAAAAAAAAGAGGCTGTTTTTGACCAATGAACCTGCAATTTGGACAGATGTTTGACCTTGTTGGAGCTCCAGATGCTGTCTCATGTTGCTCACTTCAACATGATGGACTGCTTAACCTTTACAGCTGACAAGTTTCACTTTTTAAACAGTTAGACACTGTGATTAAGATACTGAAGTGCTTACAGCAGTTAAATTGTCATTTTAATGCAATTAAAAATAAAGCTAGCATCAAAGTTTGTGAAACCGCCGACATAAAAGAAGCCTCACCTGGCTGAGGTTCAAGGGGTGTGACTGGCTCGGCACTAGTCCGTGCCGCTCCATGTTCTCCCCGGAGCTGCAGGGCTGTCGGTTGGATGATCTCTTAGGCTTCATGTAGGTCACTGTGAATTAAAACGTGTTATTATATAACACTGCTTTCATTCCTGATCACTCACTCACACACACACACACACACACACACACACACACACACACACACACACAC